GGGAGAGAATCTTCACAATCTTCACATCTGGCAAAATAATAGTATCCATAATCTACAAGGAACACAGAAATATCAGCAAGAACAAAACAAACAATCTCATCAATAAGTGGGCTAAGGACATGAATAAACAATTCTCAAAAGAAGATATACAAATGACCAAAAAACACATGAAAAAATGCTCAACATCTCTAACAATCAGATAAATGCAAATCAAAAGCACATTGCAATACCAACTTACTCCTTCAAGAATGGCTATAACCACCAGTATTACTAAAAACTTGATGGCTTCAGCAGAACAGTCCATTTAGGAGACTATTAAGCTATTTAGAGGTGTTTTTTTCATTAATTGCTTTTGAAATCTACTGAATACAACTAACAAGGAATGTGAAGGGCCTCTTCAAGGAGAATTACAAACCTCTGCTCAAAGAAATACGACAGGACACAAACAGATGAAAAAACATTCCATGCTCGTGGTTAGGAAGAATTAGTATCATGAAAATGGCCATACTGCCCAAAGTAATTTATAGATTCAATGCTATCCCCATCAAGCTACCATTGACTTTCTTCACAGAATTGGAAAAAAAAAAAAACACTTAAATTTCATATGGAACCAGAAAAGAGCCTGCATAGCCAAGACAATCCTAAGGAAAAACAAAAAAACAAAAAATCTGGAGGCATCACGCTAACTGACTGCAAACTATAGTACAAGGATACAGTAATCAAAACAGCATGGTACTGATACCAAAACAGAGATATAGACCAATGGAACAGAACAGAAACCTCAGAAATAATGCCACACATCTGTAACCATCTGATCTTTGACAAACCAGACAAAAACAAGCAATGAGGAAAGGATTCCCTATTTAATAAATGGTGTTGGGAAAACTAGCTAGCCATATGCAGAAAGCTGAAACTGGATCCCTTCCTTACACCTTATAGAAAAATTAACTCAAGATGGAGTAAAGATTTAACATAAGACCTAAAACCAGAAAAACCCTAGAAGAAAACCTAGGCAATACCATTCAGGACATAGGCATGGGCAAGGACTTCATCACTAAAACACCAAAAGCAATGACAACAAAAGCCAAAATAGACAAATGGGATCTAATTAAACTGAAGAGCTTCTGCACAGCAAAATAAACTATCATCAGAGTGAACAGGCAACCTACAGAATGGGAGAAAAAATTTGCAATCTACCATCTGACAAAGGGCTAATATCCAGAATCTACAAAGAAGTAGAACAAATTTACAAGAAAAAAAAAACAACCTCATCAAAAAGTGGGTGCAGGATATGAACAGACACTTTTCAAAAGAAGACATTTATGCAGCCAACAAACATATGAGAAAATGCTGATCATCACTGGTAATTAGAGAAATGCAAATTAATACCACAATGACATACCATCTCATGCCAGTTAGAATGGCAATCATTAAAAAATCAGGAGACAACAGATGTTGGAAAGGATGTGGAGAAATAGGAATGCTTTTACACTGTTGGTGGGAGTGTAAATTCGTTCAACCATTGTGAAAGACAGTGTGACAATTCCTCAAGGATTTAGAACTAGAAATACCATTTGACACAGTAATTCCATTACTGGGTATATACCCAAAGGATTATAAATCATTCTATTATAAAGACACATGCACCCATATGTTTGTTACAGCACTCTTCACAATAGAAAAGACTTGGAACCAACTCAAATGCCCATCAATGATAGACTGGCTAAAGAAAATGTGGCACATGTACACCATGGAATACTATGCATCCATAAAAAAGAATGAGTTCATGTCCTTTGCAAGGACATGGATGAATCTGGAAACCATCATTCTTAGCAAGCTAACACAAGAACAAAAAACCAAACATCACATGTTCTCACTCATAAGTGGGAGTTGAACAGTGAGAACATATGGATACAGGGAGGGGAACATCACACACCGGGACCTGTTGGGGGTTGGGGGTCTAGGGGAGGGATAGCATTAGGAGAAATACCTAATGTAGATGATGGGGTGACAGATGCAGCAAACTACCATGGCACATGTATACCTATGTAGCAAACCTGCACGTTCCGCACATGTACCCCAGAACTTAGTATAATAAAAAAGAAAAAGAAAAGAAAAGAAAAAAAGTATAATTGTGGTACAAGGAAAGCAGATCTCCAGGCTCTTTCCCCTTAGTTTATTTTGGTTTAATTCTATACCGGAGACTTGAATAGGATTTGTGAACATGATGATGAAAAGAAAAACAGAGGAGATTATTTGTGTATCCTCATTCCTGAATAATCTTGCAGTTACCTTTTAAAGAAGCAGACATTAACTCAGCAACATAACACTGTAGCTATAAACGCTAAGTGTTATAAAGGAGATTGGAGTGGGGTGGGTGGAGTAGGATGGAAAAAGCATGTAGACTTCCGAGAAGAGGCTAAAGATTCTGCCCTGTAATACCAAAAATGAGTTGCAAGATAATGTGGTGAAGTTAGGCCATCTTGATTTGATATAAAAATCTTTTAGATCGTTTAAAAATGAGAATCTAGGCTAATTAATGTTGATTTTACAATAGAACATGAGTTAATTCTGCAACTGTCTGGGGGGTAACTTTGCGGTTTCCAGTCCATTTAGAGCTATATCAAGAAAAGCTGAAAAGTAGGCACTTTTAGTTAATCATAGATTTATTGGATGTAGCAATTATTATCATAATATTTAATCTCTGTTATTTGAAAGTGGAAATGAACTCTTTTCCCCATCTTAACTGTCATTTAATAAACTCAAGATGATCAACACTGGAAATGACCCTATAACACATACCAAAAAAAATCTAAAGCTGTAAGACATTTTTGAAGATCCATATCTCTTAAACTTTTTAGATTTGTCTTGGGAAAGAATTTATAAAAGTGTAACTAGTATTAGTGCAGTCTTGGGTTCCCTGTTCTGCATAATTGCCCCCTTTCTCAGGTATGCCCTAAAAGCATAAATTTTAAAATAATCTCTTTAGAGATTAGATTATCAGTGAATAGTGTGTAAGGGGACTAGGGGTCGGGGGTGGGGGTAGTTGAGCACAGGACACTGACATAGTAGAGCATGGATTTTTAACAGTCAATAGCCAAATAGAATTTCAATCTAGAACATTTTTAACCCCTCAGAATGAGTGAAACAACTTCTATTATTTGGTATATCTGGTGCTACACTCTTCAAAGTCTTTTCTTTTCATCCAGGTGACTTTTTGTTTTTCTTGGTTGGGGTGGAAGGTTGTATAGTAAACTTCACTGTCACTAGTAAAGCACTTGTCCAAAATGTTTAAAGTACTGGAAAAGGGATAATTCAGCACTTTTTCTGTTACAACACTAAAGTCTTAATTTATCTTCAGAGTCTTAGGTACTGTAAGTTTTAGGACGATTATTAAAAAATATAAAACATACTATATAATATGGGGTCAGATCATATAGCATAAATAGTTCTTATTTTTAAGAAAGACAATAACGTTTTGTACCTTTCTAGCAATTCCAAGTGATTGCCTCATTTTCTCCATTGTATTAAGCATTTCAAGCTTAAGAATTTGGAATTTGAAAGAAGATGAGGGGGAACATTCCCCAAAATAAAAAATTGTTTCAGACCATTTTAGGAAAACAAATCACTAGGAAAATGGGTAGGGATTCTCTCTCCCTTTAAGTCTTCAGGGAATGAGCAGTATTTAGAATCTTTGGCTGAATTCAAGCCTTTTTTACTTTGCAAATTTTTAATATTAATTCACTGACATGCTTTTTACACCAGGGGATTGAAAATGGATCTTAACATTTTTAAGTTGAGGAAGGGTATATTTCTAAGATGAGGGGGGGATGATGAACTAGGTTAGTATTAATAGTATTAGTAAGTTTAAGGAATTTTAGTATGTAATAGCAAAGTGTTTGATTAAAAGTCTAATCCTATATTGCTAGTCAAAATTAGTTACATTCTGATTTAAGAAAGATAATAGTCATTGGATATTGATATGCTGTGCTGTCACAAAACCAGACTGGGATAGAAACCTTTATCTGACTCCCACATGTTGCTCGTTCTGATGGGATGTATACTTCACAGCAGCTTATTGTTGCTTTGAAAAAAATGTATAAACTATACATTTGGAGTGTTTGCATATAATTCTTCATAACCTCCACTTTAAGCTGTGAGACATTGGTATTTTATCAGTCCACACTTTTTAATAAAAGTAATGTTCTTAGGAATCCAGCTTGTACACGCTGTTTAAAAACCCTCAGGGACAGTTTACACGCACTTGTCACTCAATTCAGGTACTTTGATGCTATTCTTAAACCTAACAGTGACTTGTATTTTTCTGTTTTGCATTTATTTCGACATGTTGGTAGCACATCTGATGAATGTCAACTTAAAAAACTCATTTCAAGTATCCAGGTATAACTCAGCAAAATAGATTTTAAAGCTGCATATAATTCTCCAGCACACAGAGCTTCACACTCTCATAGAGGCATTCTATATATTCAGTTATTACTACTGAGCAGATAATATAGGGGTTCCTGTGAATAGTGTATTTTAAAAAGTGCATAAATGTATAGGCAGCACACTACACACACAGACACACACGCACACACACACACACACAAACATGCACAGTTAAACTATGTATTTTTAAATGCCACTAATAGCCAGCA